TACTTGAAAAGAACTGTATCTCTAGTCAAGTGTTGTGCCTACACTGTAGAGGGCCTTGGTCAGTCTGTTCGAAAAGACAGGCCTGAATTGGCTGTTGTCAAATTCATCATTACTCATTGTTGTGTGGTGGTAGAGAGAAGGAACAGTGGAGTACATAGCAGGAGAACCTTGGTCTAGTCTGTGGTATCAGACTGGGGATGTAGCATTTCAACAGGGCCCTATGCCATCCAGTATGGTATCTGGTACTCATATGTGACCATTTAAATTCAAATTGAATAAAGTGAAATACAACCTTTTTCAGTTGTACTAGACACATTTCAAGTACTCTGAGCAATCTACTTTTGAACAGCATTGAGCAGGAAATAGATCATTCCCATCATTGTATAAAATTCAGTTGGAAATTTCCAAATTGTAAGTTAAGAGGGTAATGGTAAGTGTGAACACTCCAAATAGGAAGTAGTCTATGCAAAAGTCCTGGGGTGGAAGAAAAGACAGTGGAACTAGAGCTCAAGAGTAACCAAGGAGGTGGGGGGAACCTCATCTGAGTGACACAGCCCCAGGCCTTGCTAGGACTTGCTAGCAAAAAGTGGCTAAGAATATCTTGGATATGACATTTTGTAGTATGCCCTCACCCCTAGGCCACAAGTTACAACCAAGTGAAGAGATAGATGTACCTGTTGTTGAGTGCTGCGAGGTGTCGCAAGGGTATCCTCCCCCTTCAGCGGACAAAGACCTGCAATCTGCTGTTACATACAGAGCTAAAGAAAGTTAGATGTGGTATCACATGCCTTTAATTCCAGAATTAAAGGGGTGGGGGTGGGGCAGAGGCAGCTCTCTGTAAGTTCCAGGGCTACATAGACATGTTTAAAAAAAAAAAAAGCTTAAAAATGAGATAATAGATGGTTATATATAGGATGTGGAACCCCTTTTTTAACCAGGAGTGAGCTCATTCGTACTGAATGCTGGGAGCTGGATTAGAAGGAGCTCGTCTCATCCATTGTCTGCAGCTCCATCCCAGCACATCTTGAGCATTGGGTACCAACATTAATTTGTGAGCCCTGAGAATGATCTACAGGATTTGATAAGGGGCATCACGGAAGTTTGATAGCTTTTTAAAAAATTATTATTGGGGATTTTGTTATAGGTTTCAGTAAAGAATATTAGTAGTAGGATTTGAGGCCTTACAAGTCAAGTAGAAGGCAAAGCTGAAAGTATGGCTTGTTAAAAAGCTGTGGAAGGCTTTGGAAGTTGGACCTTATAGTATTAGCATCAGGGAGCCTCTGAAGATTTCAGGGGAAGCGTGATTCACTCTTTTCTTTTCTGAAGATTATGCAGTTCAAAGATGGCTTAGACCTGGGAGAAAATGGAGAAGGAAACACCAGCTTAAAGACAGTTCCAGTAGTCCTGGTGGAAGATAACATTTGGACGATGACAAAACAAAATACCGGGTAGCCTACTAACATCCCTTCATAGCCATTATACCCAAATTCCTACAATGTCCGTGAATGGCCAATATAAGGGAACTGAAGCTCAACAGGTAGAAAAAGGAGGAAGGCAAATCACCAGTCCCAGGTCTTAGCTAAGCAGACTGCACCCCTGTGCTGCAGCCTGAAGAGTCAATGGGGAGCTGATGATGCCAAGAGACCTGACAGAGACTAGGGACCCAGCACAAAGACAAAATGTAGGGGTAGGCTGAGGGAGGGCAATGCCGCCTGTCATTCTCCTTACTCCCTGTGTATTCCCTCCCACTCATTTCATATGCAGATGCTTGTTTGCCTTGCCATTGAGCTAAATCTCATGCAATGGATGGTATCAGTCTGTCCCCTCCTCCCCAACCTGGGTCCTTTCCAGCTGAGATCAGCTCCTAGCCATGAAGAATGTGGTCCTAGCTCAACATTCTTCCAAGCAAAGCTGCTGCTGTAATGCCCTTCCCAAGCTCATTCACTTGTTCTTTTATTCTTCAGGGAGTGCTGCACTGAGGGATCTGGGCTAGCAAGAGATTTTTTTTTTTAAAGATTTATTTATTTATTATGTATACAGTATGTATGACTACAGGCCAGAAGAGGGCACCAGATTCCATTACAGATGGTTGTGAGCCACCATGTGGTTGCTGGGAATTGAATTCAGGACCTCTGGAAGAACAGTCAGTGCTCTTAACCTCTGAGCCATCTCTCCAGCCCCCTAGCAAGAGATTTTGTAGACAGCAGTCCATGGCAGAACCACGTACATGGTCCACAGGCCTAGCTTAGTGGTCAAAAGAGACTTCACAGATGGGGGGACATCTGGATCCCCTTTCCTTTACCCCAAGGCAGTGGCTAATTTGACTATTAAAGAAAAATACCTCACTCTACTTCTTTATTATGAAAATAACATGCTTTTTTATAAAGGATAATCAAAACAATCAATTTTATAAAACAAAGTTTACATAGTTAACGGTTGGTACATGACATTTCTGGTTTTTACTGCACATGTATATATTTACATGAGTTAGTAAATGATTCATGCTATAAATGCTGCTCTGCAACTTGAGTCCCCCATTCCATCTATCCCCATCCCCATCCTACCCACCCCCACTCCCTGTGCCACCACTGCTATTTGAAAGTATTTGAGGAATATCTTTTCATGTTGGTTTGGAATTCTGCCATTCCCAACATACAGCACTTTATCTTAAAACTGTGATCATTTCATAAACCCTGGTCATATAGATGTGGACAGTCTTTCAAAGAGTAAGCAGATGTCTACAACAGGACAGGTAGGGACAAGAGACAACAGCTGTATGCATGGGCTGGACTGAAGAGTGATTTCGTATCAGTGGGTCCAGTATAAGATCAAGCAGGACAGGTGAGAATGAGCCAGTAGGACAGCCTGCTCAGCCTGGTCTAAGCAGCCCAGCTCTTCCAAAGGTGGTGATGGAGAGGGCCCAGATGCCAGAGATTTGGCCAGGATTAAAATGGTTGTATTTGGTTATTCACAAGATTACTAGGACAGCTGTGAGTAGATGGCATTAAAAAGAAAGTAAAAGCAGACAGTTTACCCAGAGAATGAATTGAGTTGTACCTCACAGGGCCAAGGTCATGTACACTGAATGGTGAGGGCAGGTTCGGGGTGGTGTTGATGAGATGTGTATAGCTATGAGCAGGGATGAAGAGGTACCGAGTCTGGCCTGTGGTTCAGGAGCCGGCTGGATGGTACTGCATTGCCCAAGATGGATTGCAGAGGAAGAGGGCTGCTGTAGAGAGGAACTGTTGAGCAGTCTTATACCCTCTTCCCTTTTTTTTCTGTCTTCCTCCTGTGACAGGTGATTAAAGGAGGAAGCCATCCTCATTGACACTTCTTTCACCCCAAATTACCCCTGACAAGCCCCTGTGTAGTGATTTCACCAGCACCCCAGGAACACCCAGGGCTAGTTCAGCTTTAGATGTATGATGGCGGGTTATTTAAGCCTTCCATTTTCTTCCCTTGCTTTTATTTAAGAGACAGAATGCAATTCTGAGCTATTAGATACACATAGAATTGCAGTTTCAAAGTTTGAAGTACTGTCAGGTCAAGACAAAAGCTTCTCCATGGCTCGGGATGAACAAGGTCTTCAGAAGTCTTGGCCTAGGTGCTCACAGCGTGTCAGGAGCCTGGGACCACTTGGCTAGCTTCAGACCAGCGGGGACAGACAGGAAGGAGCTCTTTTCTGTTTGCTCAGTTATCATCACCGACTCCTTCTTTGTGTAAGATGGTAATGAGGCCATTAGGGGAGGCTCACCTGAAGTGCAGCTTGTGAATCCAAGGTAATTAAACACCTCCTGAATGAAAGGGAAAGGCCAGGGAAGGTTAAGTGAGGAATAATCCGCAGCACAGGTGGCCCAAGGTCTTTGAGGAACCAAAAGAAGAGCGACAGTGTAGGTACTGTTTCAAAGGATGGAAATGTCACCCAGGTCCTCAAGAGGGACAGGGTTTTTATTATTTGGGGGATGGGGAGTAGGTAATATTTTTTTTAACATTTTAGTAAAGCATGTTTTTTTTTCATACTTCTGTCTCAAGTTGAAAATCCATGGCAGAACTTATCTGGGGCCAAGGGACATGCATCACTCCTCAGGGGCTCTCAGTCCTGCAGCCTTTGAGTCTGTGGTCCCAGACAAGGAAGCACAGCAGAGCAGTGTGTGTGCACTCACGTATGCACACACATATATATGCACACACACATGTTATGACAGATGCCTAACTACTTTCAGATAAAAACTGTTCTATTGTCTCTCGCTTTATAGCAGCTGGCCCCCAGGCACTTGTTCCTGTCCCTTCTGACCTTGATATGGTCCAAGCAAATAACCTACCCTTCTAGTAACCTCACAGGAGTGTTCCCTTTACTCAGTTAACCATATTTTAATGGTTGACTGTGTGTTGGCATTGTGCTCTATGACTTCACAGGTCCTTTCAACTGATCTTCACTGCACAAGGTCCAGCAACAGAAGGCTTTTGCTATTCAGGTTCTTGCCTCCAAACCTCTGCTGTCTCCATACCATGAATCCTTATAATAGCCCCAGTATTCATCACCCCAAAGCAGAGACTGACAAATAAAATGTGGTATACAGTAGAATATTATTCAACCACAGGAATGAAGACCTCATATATTATATTATAGAAAACAGTGATACATGGGAAGAATCTGGTCCTGTGGTCCTGTGATTCTAGGTACATGACTTACGCAGCATGGGCAGAGCAAGTAGATGGTCAAGACAAGGGTGGGAGATGAGGGTTCTTCTGAAGGTAGTAAAAATGTTCTAGAATTAGATGGTTGTGATTGTTGTACACTCTTACACTTAGACACCAAACTGTACTCTCTAAATTAGAGATGTGTGAAATATACCACAGCAAGCCCTAATGCTGAGGACACTTTTTTTCCCCACCAAATTGACTCCTCCTGGAATTATGTAAGGCTTTCTGGGTGCCAGGCTTAGCTATCTGTCCCTCTGTGACCTGCTCTCACACCGTCTTCCTTCTCCTGTCCCCAGATCTCCTCCCTGAAGAACAGGCTGAAGAAGGTCTCTACAACCACAGGCGATGGCGTGGCCAGAGCCTTTCTCAAGGCCCAGGCCGCCTTCTTCGGCAGCTATCGGAATGCACTGAAAATTGAGCCGGTGAGCAGCCTCTTAGCGTGTGACAGTGTCCAAGATTGTGTGTGTGTGCGTGTGTGTGTGTGTGTGTGTGTGTGTCTCGCAGGGTCTCGGATGAACTAGTCTTACGAGGCCCTCATTGTTTCTATGAAGGGAAGACCTTAAAGCACCCCACTACCTGTGTTAAATCCCAAGCCAGGCCCTTCGTGGTTGTCCAGCTCTCAGTGAAGGCCCAAAAGTCAACTGTGAGATAGTGATGATCACTTCCACTTTCCAAATGAGGACACCAAGGCTTCAGGGAAGAGAAATGATTTACCAACAGTCCCAAAGCTCATGATTTTGTCCTATGCCTCACTGCCCCTTGTCTTTCAAAGGGTTCCCTCATCCTAGAGATTGACTTTTTGGTGGCTCCTATATATATATATAGTCATGATTTAAATGACAGCAACACACAGATGGGACTGAGCTGTAGCATTACCTGCCTGCCTAGCCCTTCCATCTCCCTGAGCCTGGTTGGCCATTCATTTTACCTGCCTGCCCTGTGAGGTGATGCTGTCATGTGAGTACAAAGAGGTCAGGTTCTTCCTGAAACCAAAGGCAGTTCCACCACTTCTTCCTACTTCCCCTGGAAGCTTCCCACTGATGTCCCTCCTGATATCCCTCAACCCTGGCCACCTCTGTGTCTTGGCTGAGCAGACTGCATATTTAGCCCAGGCAGACGGTGTGAGGGATCAACTGTAGTCATACTGATCTAGGTCAACACAGTCCATTTCTAGTTTCCCCCTTCCAGGTCCACTAATGCCTATCAGCTTAAAGCAAGTTCCTGTGTCCTGCTTGTCTAGAGGAGAGCTGGCTCCGACTCTGACATGATCTTGGGCCCAGACAAACCAAACAGTTTTAAGAGTTAGTGTAATTAGGGAAAACATTGTCCTCACCTCTGTCTAAAAGGAGAGTTCCCAGGGTTGGTGGGACCCAGCAAGCTGGACACATTTTCACCCTGGTACTCACCTCACAGTTGTCACATGCATTTCTAGAATCCAGGTACATATTGCTAGATATGAGCTGGGCACATGAGCCCCCAGAAGAGGTGGTTTTGGTTGGATTAAAAAGCAGAAACCCAGGAGTTTAAAGCCTGGCTCTATACTTCTTAGCTGTATAAAACTTGAACAAGTCACTCCATGAGGTTAAATTTTACTTTCTTCACCTTCAAAATGTGAATAAGCCTTCTTGTCTGTTACTTCTTGTTGCTGTCAGCATCACACAAGCCCTAAAATGTGTCATAAGAAAGGTGAGACCTGCATGGGGTCTGCTGAGCGAGGCTTGAAAGAACAGAACAGAAGCACCCCACCCTGCTGCAAGTGTGGGCTGTTGAGCATGCCATGGCTTGGCGGCAATACTCCTGTGTCTGGAGGAGGAGGATGGACTGAGCCAGATGTGGCAGAGGCTTGGATGCTGGTCTGGGAGTGTGCACTTTACTCTGTAGGAGCACAAGGTTCCAAGTGGAGATATGATACATCTGATTGCAGATTTGAGCAGGAGAAGGTTCCATGGTAGAAGAAAGGACTTGACCTAGTAATAGATGAACTACGGTAGACAAATGGCATATAATGTCAAGTGGCTCCTGAGATTGAGAAGCTGAGAGAGGATGGTGGTGCCTCTGGTAAGAAAGGGGAAAGCCTGATGCCATGGTATTCATAACCAGTGGGATTTGTAATGGAGATGAATTGGCACAGTTCACAGTAGGCATTGGGGAGATGCCTTATGTATCTGTGCAACTCCACATGATACATACTGTATAGCCATTAAAGCATTATCTGAAACTAATGACAGGTTTGGCTGTAGGTGTGGCATATTTCCTTGAATCTAATTGTCATTTGGTCACAAGATACACTTTGTTGTAAATGCACCTTTGCTGTGGTGTTAAAGAAGAGAGAGCACGACATCAATTATCAGATACATCCACGTTTCAGTGGGAAGTTCTCATCTTAGAATCAATGAGATAGGCAGAACTGTCATGCTTTCAATCTCATTCATCTGTGCAAGGGTGGCTTTTGTCTGTAAAGCAAGGATGGAAACCAGAAGGTCTGAGGTTCCCCAATTAAGTGTTGTGCCCATAGTGGTCACCTTGTTACCTAAAGGGGTTTTAAGCTGTAAATTTAATTCTAGCGGTTTCTCCTTATCTGAAAAATGGAGTAGCACAATTCCTCATGCAAAATTGTTTAAAATGAGGCCAGGTGGTGGTGGCGCACGCCTTTAATCCCAGCACTTGGGAGTCAGAGCCAGGTGGATCTCTGTGAGTTCAAGGCCAGCCTGGTCTACAGAGCGAGATCCAAGACAAGCACCAAAACTACACAGAGAAACCCTGTCTCAAAAAACAAACAAGCCGGGCGGTGGTGGTGCACGCCTTTAATCCCAGCACTCGGGAGGCAGAGCCAGGCGGATCTCTGTGAGTTCGAGGCCAGCCTGGTCTCCAAAGCGAGTTCCAGGAAAGGCGCAAAGCTACACAGAGAAACCCTGTCTCGAAAAAAAAAAAAAACAAAGAAACAGAAAAAAGAAAAAAATTGTTTAAAATGACTACAGAGCACATGTGAGCATGAAAAGTTGCTGCAAGGCTGGAAGAATGGCATGTTAGGTAATGATCTGAGGTATGGGGCACACAGTGCTACAGGACAGGAATGCTTCCCCACGATCATACCTCTTTTAGTCATTTGTATGCTTATCAAATTGTACCAATTAGGGCTGAAAAGATGGCTCAGCAGTTAAAAATATAAACTGTTCTTGTAGAAGACCTGAGTTCAGGTCCCAGTACCCATTAGGTGACTCACAACCACCTGTATGTAATTTGAGTACCAGAAGATCTGGTACCTTCTTCTAGCCTCATGAGCAACACTATCAGTGTGACTTAAAATTGGGGAATGTGAACAACATTCAAGCACACAGGCACACCTACACATACTCATGATGGATGGATGGATAGATAGATAGATAGATAGATAGATAGATAGATAGATAGATAGATAGATAGATAGATAGATAGATAATTGTACCGTATCTATCTAGTTAGGTCTAGATAGTTAGGTTGGAGATATAGCTCAATGGTAGAGAGCCTGCATAGTATACACAAGGCCCTGAGTTCTAGCCATTGCACTGACAGAATAAAATAAAATATAAATAGCACCTGCTCTTGGTGAAAATGTTTAAAGAAACAAAACTAGAAGGAAGCAGCACCCTGGTCCCATCATCTAGAGTTGAAGTGGTATGTCAGCAGGTTTCCACCCTGTCTCCTGTCTTCTATTTTGTTTGGGGTCTTGAGTTTTATTTTTGCTATGTTTTCTTTACTTCTTTTAAGCAGTTGAGCTATCCTTGACAAATCCAGTATCTCACTTACTAGTCTGTTTTTGCCTTTTAGTGTGAGTAAGCACTTTTCACATCATATAAAATATCTCTTATCAAATATCATTTGATGAAAGCCTGTGGACCACAGTTACCTAGGAGGCTTCAAAAAAGGTAAATACGTAAACACACTGACAGATTTTTACCTAGTTCCTGATATCTGAAATCAGGGCCAAGGCCCACTCATTATCCTGTTGCTGGCTTTTATTGGCTGTTGTTCACATTCCCCAATTTTAAGTCACACTGATGAGAGCATCTTTTTCTAACTCTTCATGTGTAGTTTGAATGATTTTTCTTAAGCATTTTCCCTGGAGTGGATTTACTGGGTCAAAGGATCCGAGAGTATTTAAGGCTTTGGTGCTGAGGGGGTAAGAAATGGGTGGCTGGGTACAGAACAGAACCCAAGAGATAGAGGGGAGGAGCAAGAGACTGAGAGCAGAGAGAACCTGCATGGAGGAGGGCCCTGAAAAGCTTGGGAGTCACTGCCCGCCCCTCTGCCACACCTGCCCTTGCTACTTGTGGCTGTTGCTGTCCAAACAGGTTTAGTGGCCTCCCACCCAGAACAACTGCTGTGTGGTGGTTGGAAACTGGTGGCCTCAGAGTAACTGTTTACATTGCTCTGAAAACATGAGCTGCTACTTTCTACTCCGCTCCTAAGCAGCTCTGACTTAGGGCTCTTTCACACCTCTGAGCCTCAGCTTCTTTCCATGTGGAGCCTGCTCCTTGCAGGATTGTAGTGAAGCTTGAATAAGCCCAGCCCAGGGCCTGCCTGTCACTCCTGGAACAGCTAGCCTGTTTCCTGTTCCTCACTAGGATTCCTCTCTAGGCAGAAGTATTTGGGATGCAGCTCCTGCAGGGCCAGTTGATCCCTGCCTGCCTGTGTAGAGGGACCAGTCCTGGCCTGAAAGGCTCCTGCCAGTGGCTTAGAGCTCACTTGAGAACCTTTGTGGTTTTTTTCCCTACTAGAAACATTCAGCGTGCCTTTGAGCTTTGTTTTATCTACATCAGAAGGAAAAAGGAAAGGCCCTCTTGCTGAGGCTGCTTCATATTGGGTCTAGCTTGGGCTAGGTGGGTCTTTTCAGGGCCAGGTGAGTTGTTTCAAAGGGACTTCCCCTAGTTGAAAAGGGAGAAGATGAGAGAACAGCTCTGTCTGTCCCTCCTCAGTGGCTTCCCACAAACTAGGGCGTGGTTCCCAGCCATGATCTTCCCAATTTGCCTGACCTTTGCCTTGTCCATCTTACAGATGGGGCAAAGGCTGTCCTTGGCAATGACTTCCCAAAATGTAGGAGATCCAGGAGGAGACTCCAAGACAAAGTTCCTCCTACTGTGCTCCCCTGCCTATTTTTGTTCTAGTTCTCATGTGTTCCATCCTAATAATTCTTTTTGTTTCCTGTGCCAAGTACAGGCCATGGCACAGAATGTAGGTGTTAGCCAGTGTATTTTGGACCATTGGACAGAAGAATGGGTATGAGAAATGAATGGATAGAGCAGTGTTGGAGACAGGGGTTGTCCCTGGGCCTGTGTTCCATGTGCATGCATTGCTCCCTGTCCTGTTGGGAGGCTCTGGAGGTAGCTTCTCCCTGGAAGAGGAGAGGTGTCTGCAAATCACAGGGGCATGTGACCCACTTTTC